ACTTTGGAGCGTTCTCCAGTAATAATTCATGGACGTAGCTATAATTACAGACAATCTTGTTGGAGGTTTATGTATTAATGATAATTGTTTGTGTCTTACTCTTCTCTTCCTTTAGATGAGTATCTGTCGAACCAAGTACTTTCCCATTTTTGTTTGGGAGCTACGACCTCAATCGCACCTCCACTATTTGTGGTTGCAACGCATTTTCCAGCGGTGTTGTGCCCCTATTTGGGGGCTTTTAACCTTACAAGTATATTTGCAGTTGGGTATGTGTGATATTGTCACTTTTGGAATATTATTAAATGCATCAGGTATCCGATCTGATTGTTTCACTTCAACTTTACATTGTAAAGTTTGAGGATCATAATGAGACAAAGTGCGAACATTTCATGACAATTCTTGTCATTCATTGGAAAATCCTTTTTCCTATCTCCCCATAACTATGAGAATACTATCTCATCAAATTGATGATCGCAAATCTTACAGTAAAAATGATCAATCGTCAAAGATTCTAGTTAGCCAATTAATTGTTGCGAATTTTCATATCCAATGTTATACTTAATCGTTTTCGACGACCCATTTTGGTATGTTATTGACACATACTACACAACTAAATATGCGTAAATGTAAAATATCAAGCTTATATCCAGTTACCAATTAGTATGCATGTGAATGGTTGGCTAGTAGTGAGTTTAAAACAAATAAGTAAAACTGCATGTAAGATGGCATAACCCAAGCAGATGTGTGTAAATTGGTGTGCGTAACCAATGTCCTAATTACCATCTATTAAGTACTGGGTCTTAAAACAAACAAGCAGAACAAAGTTGAATTTATATTCACATGAATCGCGATTCATATTAAATCTATGGCTGAAAATATAAGTTGCTATATCAAAACAAGATGGCAGTTATCAACCAAAAGTAACATAACTAGATTCGTTGACAGTATTTAGAGCAGAAAATGTAGAAATTATGACTTGGATTGTGCCGATAATAAATCAATTGATTGAGTATACCTGCTGATAACATGTTATAGAATAATATATACATATAGAGAACCGAGAAACTGTAAATTCCCGTTAATCATAAACCCTTAAATAGGGATGATTACATAAAGATAATAATAAAGGGGTGTTTGGGATTGCTTATTTAAAACAACTTATATTTTTCTATAAAAGTCTTTATCAACTTATTATAAGTTAGAAGAGTTTAACTTCTTCAAAAACTCCTCATTATCGGTTTGACACCGGTATAAGTTGTTTATCAAAACACTCAAAAGTACTTATTACCGATGTCATACCGAAATAAGTCAATAAGTTATTTTTATAAGCAAACCTAAACACCCCCTAAATACTAAAGGGAGAGTTACTCCATAAATAAGTCTAAAGTTTATATATATCTTTATTGTCACGTTTTTTTTACGATAGCACACTTATCCTATAACAAAAATAATATTTTTGAATTTAATTTTCATTTTAAACTCTACATCTAGTAAGTTACACCAATCGTTCCTATGATTTTTGAAAACCCTATCAAATACCCCTACAATAAAATTTAGGACGTTAACAATTCTTAAGCGTTTTAATAGACAGTTTTATAGCGTTTTAATAGACAGTTTTATAAAACTTAATTTATAGAACCAAAAGTTAAAATGTTTTATCTAAGGATGATTTAATTAGTTTATAAGACGTTTTTGGAAATCTTAACAAAAATTTGAGTCACTTTTAATACAAAACGTCACATTAACTATTTTATAGAACAATTTTGATAAGTGTTATATAAACCCATCTTTTTATAATACATTTGTTTTTATAGGACACTTCTGTAAATAGTGTCCTTAAATGAGTTAATACGGCGTTTTTTTTATAAAATGTTCTAAAAACATGTTATGACATCTAAAAATGTCTTATAAACTTATTGCAATGCCTTTAAATAGGATCAATGGTCCTATAAATTAAATTTTATGAAGTAGTCAATTATAACGTTTAATTTTTTTTAATTTATTATAAACTTTATTTAATTATATATGGTAATTTAAAATTTATGCCGATATCGGCTTTCCTCTAAGTTCCCCAGGTGTTATGTGCATAAAAACATGTGTTGTTTGCAAAATTGTTTTTGAGAGATTCAAATTTCATGGGGAGGGGGGGGTTGAAATGGATTTGAAATCATTGGTGTGTTTGGTTTGTAGGATTTGAAATGAAATTGGATTACATTATTTATAAATAATTTATACAAAAAGTTATNATATGGTAATTTAAAATTTATGCCGATATCGGCTTTCCTCTAAGTTCCCCAGGTGTTATGTGCATAAAAACATGTGTTGTTTGCAAAATTGTTTTGGGGGGTTTCATATTTCATGGAGGGATTTGGATTGAAATGGATTTGAAATCATTGGTGTGTTTGGTTTGTAGGATTTGAAATGAAATTGGATTACATTATTTATAAATAATTTATACAAAAAGTTATAAATAATTATAAAAAAATTAAATTACATTTTTATTAATCGATTATTATAAAATAAAATGTTTTTAACATTTTTTAAAACCTTATTTCATGCAATTCTACAAAATCACATGAAATTCCGAGTACCCCTAAGAATTTCAAAATCATATGTTTGTAGGATTTCAAATCCAGACAATATAACAAACCAAACATAGGATTGAAATGTATTTGAAATTCAAATTCCTTCAAATACATTTCATTTCTATAAACCAAATGGGACCTTGGAGTTTTTGGGGATTTTATGTTATTTTTGGGGTTCAAAGGAGAGAAATGGTACAACTTTATTATTCCTACCTATAAAAGTAGTTGAAATATTTACTAGAGAAAAATATTTTATATTAAATGTATTGAATATTTTAGTAATATACTTAATGTTGAATTCTTCAAGATGTAAAAGTTATTGAAGTTAAATGTAAGTTTTTTTTTTTTTTTTTTTTTGAGATTTTGACTTTTGATTCTTCATTTAAAGAATTAGCAAAAAGATCAACATCCCTTCACATAAGGATGCTTAAGTGATGCTATCAGGTCTGACCTTGGCCATGTGGAGCCCGTGCAGCCGCACAGGACATCAAATCCTAAAGAGTCATCAAGTTGTCATCTATTACTAATTTTGGGTTTAATAATTTGGAAATTGGACAATTCAGCTTTAACTATAAAAACAGGTCAAAGGCCTAGTAGTGATGGATACTTGAATGCACATTGTGAATAGATTGACGTCATCATTCCAACAACTCAATCTAATTTCTATTATTATTCAAAGTTCGACTATTTCGATTTTCAAGGAATTGAGTTTCATTTCTAGCCGATTAACGGTTGTGAAATTAGATTCAAGAAATCAAAGATGAAAATCTCGAATGACTGATTTCTATTGTTGATTGAACTTATCGAGTTGTTGTATGAGTCATATTATGATTTTATGAATCTTTAAATCTTTTTCCAAAAAAAATCTAAATTTCTAACTGATTATCATAAAGTTGTGTCATGTGTGATCGTGTGGGTTACTGACCTACTAGGCTATAGGCTAAGAGGCTTTTGTCATTTTGATAATGAGTTTTCCTCTTGCATATTGAAATATCTCAGAATTTAAATTTACAATGCATATGAGCACATCATTGTATCAACATAGCTGGAGTACGCTGCACAATATTAACATCATATTGTAATATTATATTAATTATTGAGCACATGTTCTTTGCGGTGCACAGTAAGTTATGAATTTTATAATTTATCATTGTTCTTTTGACTTTTGTTTACTTTGAGGTTTGACATTACCGCATTAGATTTAGAGGTCGTTTGATGGGTTTTTTTGTTAAGTTCTATATGGATAACGTTGTTTGTATGGAATAATTTGTTTGTGTAAGTTGAAAAAGTTTTTGTTTGAGAGAGTTTTCATAGATGTAAGAAGCGTTTTTTTAGTTGGGAGGGTCATGTTTAGAAAAGAAATTTGGCTTTCTATATAAAGCTTCATTTAAGAACTTATTGGATAAGTCACTTTCTATATCAATAAGCTATTACGAAACAATCATGCATAGTTGAGCGAATAAGTTGTTAATCCCATTAAGCTGTTAACAAATAGGCTCTTAGACTTTAGTCGTTAGACCTATAACTTTTTGAGTTTTACTTTTTGTTTATTATGACAGTAATTTAGATGTAACTTACCATATTAACTAAAAACTAATTATAGTTTTCCTTATCTTTTTTAAGTTTCATAAATTTGAAATAAAGTTTCTATTTTGCTAATTTCAATTTGGAAAAAGGAAAACTGGAAAAAAAATGAATCACGATCTTAATCCAGGATTTATATTTTTATCATTCTATATTTTCTATTCGGGTTTTGGTTTTTATCCCCCCCCCCCCTATATTTTTTTATTATAAGTAATAAAAATCAGTATGAGGATGAGACGCTTAACTTGACTAAGTTCCAAACTCTTTAAAGAATCGAATGTTTCATTGTTTCATTGGCTTAAAAAACAGTCTTAACGCCATTTTTTATTATTCTCACATGGGACATCAAAAATCTTAGAACCGACCCTAGATATTATTAACCGACATTAGAATATATATGTATATTTAATTAAAATAAATATTTATTTTAAACAAAATAAAATAGAAATGTATACGTTTAGTAAAACAAAATTCCTATTTTTAACCGGTATTGGCACCATGAGGCGGGTGGTGGAACATGTCAGATGGTAGAGACACGTGGATCCCAAAACAAGCAGCGTCATCACCTGACAAAATTCAAATTTAATATTTTTCATATCCGAACTATTTGGATCCATCCACCAAAACCGGATCCCCCAAAACGAGACCAGCCAGTACTTACAAAAATAGCATAATCGGGTAACCGAATACAAGATATGGATCTAGATGGGGACCCAGTATATCGATAACCATCCCCGCCATTATCGTCCAAATCTCTTCTGTATATGGTGATACGCGTGTCCACACTTGCAGGCTGTTGCTTATAAATAGCCATATAGAATGGAGTGCACAGGAGCTACTTCCAGATACAATTACTCCTTCAACAGAGACTTTTTGATACTTCCCATAACCAAGTTTTTGATTCAATTTCCATCTCTTTCAAGCAAAAATGTCGTCGTCTTGCTGTGGTGGAAACTGTGGATGTGGAGCTGGTTGCAAGTGCGGGAGTAGCTGTAAGGGGTACATGTTCCTTGTTACTAGCTGATTTGTGTTTGATTTGATTTGATTATTTGTTTTTCCCCCTTTTTCTGTGTTAATTTGTGTTGAATCGGAGTAGATCGTGGTTTCCTTTTCCGATTTTAGAATCGGTTTCTCGAAAGTTGTGATCTGTATTGCTAATGAATAGTTCATATTACGGATCCGTTGAAACTAAAACGAACGATTGGTGAGGGGATTGATGCTGGAGTTTCGAGATTTTGTGATCTGTATCTCTGTATTGAGCTAATCTCCATTGATTACAGAATTTGATGGTGGAGTTGTTAGTTAATGGTTAACAGAGAGATGTTTGTTGGTTGCAGGTGCAAGATGTACCCAGACATGAGCTCCGGTGAGAAGAACACCACTCCTGATACGCTTATTCTCGGCGTTGCACCCAGCAAGCAGAGGTAAATTTCATCCAATTTTGCTACAAAATTGAAATTGAAATTGAAATTGAAATTGAAATTGGAAAATGAAATAAAAACGGAAATGTTGTAATGAATTAGAAAAATGGATAAAGGGTTTTGATGATGGTGGGTGGTGGTGGATGCAGTGGGAATGATGGAGCTGCGGGAGCTGAGAAAGAAGGATGCATGTGTAGTCCATGCATGTGCAATCCATGCATGTGCACCTAGATGAGGAACGAGTGATGCATGCCATGCCATGGCATGGTATATGGTATGGTATGGCATGGCATGGTAGGATGATGTTATGTTATATAGATAAGCATGCATGCAGTAGGGTTTTTGTTATTGTTTATGTGGGTTGAAGTGTGTGTTTTTGGTGTAATAAAAGCAGGCAGGCATATAGATGTGATGCTCAATGCTACTCATGGATGTATGTTTTTAGTTCTTGGTTTCTATTAATCATGTGTTTTGGGGGTTGCATTTGGTTTTGGTTTTGATGATGGTGCATATATATGTCCCAACTCAATTGGTATCACACACAAAATGAGTTGTGTTTTTTTTTTTATTAACTTGGATATCTAACCCGTTATATGAGTCGACTAATCCTAGAACGACCATCAAAGTCATCGCATTTGAACCTCTATAGTCACGAGTATTTTTAAAATGAGTTGTGTTTTGCCTTCAAAAAATGAGATGGTTATGGGTTCAGAACACATTTTAGGATAAGTTGACCCTCCTTATCCTTTTCGGGATGAGAAGGGTAAACCAAAAAAAATAACATGTATATTATTAAAAAGTTATAAAAATATGAATAAAAATTCGACAAATTAGAGTTTGTGATGATGTATTTATTGTGAATCATCAAATTTGTTTGGAATATTCTGAAATAAGTGAAAAAGGAAAAAAGGGTTGTGTTGTATTTTCTTTTGTGGTAATCTTCTTTATATTATTTTGTTAATAACTTCTTATTATCGGTTTCACATCGATATAAACTGTTTATCTATATTAGAATAAGTCAATAAGTTATTTTAATAAGCAATCACAAATACCCTCTAGAAGATTGAGATTTAGAAATTCAGTGAAGCAATTGGTATTTTACAGGATTCAATATGATTTATTTATAATTAGAAGGGTATTCGTGCAATGCATCGAGACATATATTGATTTCAATGTTTCGTTTTATTTCTTTTTTATGTCGATATAATACGGTTTTTTTTATGTGGTTTTGAGAAAACGATAATGTTTTTATTTTTGAATAAAATATAAATTTAAAAATATTATAAATTTTTAAAATAAAAAATATCGATATCAGTATAGTTCTTGTGTTTTGATGTAATTTTCTTAATTCAAAATTTTTAATTATAATTTAATTTATGTTAANTAATGAAGTAATTTATATTTGATTTAATAATATAATTTTATTTATAAAGATAATAATTAATTATTTTATTAGAACTCGATAATTATCCTAATTATATTTTAGATTATTTATGTTTTAAAATGAGATATTTATCCTGTATTTGATTATGTTTATCCGCAGTTAGTTACACGAATTTAAAATCGAGATTTAATAAGTTGTATTTATGCATAATTTACTTGTAATCTTTTATTTTAAGTAATATGCATCAATATACGGTAATTCATGCATAAAAATGGTTTTTAAGAGTTTTTGTCAAACACTTTATAATATATATGTGTATGTGTATATATATATATACTCGTACAATGCAGCGAGATAAATCTCTATTTTAATTTTTAGTTTTTATTTTTCTATATTGATATAATATGATTTTATATGGTTTTGAGAAAACGATAATATTTTTATTTTTTAATGAAATATAAATTTGAAGATAGCATAAAAATTTGAAAATTTTAAATCGATATTAATATTAAATTAACTATTTAATAATTCTCGTTTTTTTGTGTAACTTCTTTAATTCAATTTTTTATTATACATTAATTTATATTTAATAACAAAGTAATTTATTTTTGATTTAATAATATAATTTTTTATACAGATAATAATTAAACTTTAAAATTCAATGATTATCTTAATTATATTTTAGATTATTTATATTTAAAACAGATGTTTATCTTATATTTGGTTATTTTTATTTGTAGTTAGTTACACGAATTTAAAAAATAGAGCTTTAATAAATTGTATTTATGCAAAATTACTTGTAATCTTGAATTTTAAGTAATATGCATCAATAAACAGTATTTTATGCATAACAAATCGTTTTTAAGAGTTTTTGTCAAATGTTTTATAATATGGTATAGATAATGTTTTAAAATAATTTGTTTATTTAATATATTAATAAAGATAATTTGTTTACTTATAATTTAAATAATTTATGAAAAGTAATTGAAAAACATTTTCATTCTAAATCCAACATACCATACAAAGATTTCACATCGTTCCAATTTATAAATCAAAATTTTCTACAACCTCCTTGAAGGAAGAAAAAATTTGGATTTTTAATTATGTACAGATCCCAAAATCATAAAAAAGGTTACGGTTGTAAATTATTATACAAAGTCTATGGGGCTGTTTACTTGCGGCTTAATGAGTTTTATTGGTCTATCTAGCTTATTCGTACGGCTCATTTAGGTTGTTTACTTACGGATTATTCACACAGATAGAAATGATGTGTTGTCCCCCATTCAGCCACAAAAATAGCACCCTACCTCTTATTTAAAGCACCGCCTCATTCCCAACACCCCATCTTCGGCCTCTTTATGATTTTTTTTGTTTTGATGTTCAACTAATTAATATTGAGGGGTAAATAGGTCATTTATGTTATTCAGACTGTTGGTTCAGATAAAAAAAGGTAAACAATAACACCCATTTATCCAGACAGACAAATTTATCCATACAAGACTTGATAATTTTTTTGGTAAACAACCCCTATGTTTACATGTTTTTGGTTTAACATCATTTGATAGTCAATCATCTTGAAATTCTGCACTTAAATTTACACTGATGGTTCACTAAACTTGTTTGGTTCTGACTCTTCTGATTTGTAACTCAGGCTAATTAATTTGTTCTAAAAAAAATATTAAGCTTAGATGTCGATATTTTTGTCTTGTCAAACGTCTTCTTGACTCGTTTTAGTACTTCGTATGATTTGTTGTTCATCTCAATACGACCGCATGTGTTGTGACACAATTTTGAAAATTGTTTGTTAGGGTATACCGAGTTATTAACCACCTATGGTGGTACAACATACACATCATTATAGCACTGATGAGATGACGTCTTCTTTTGTGCTCTGGTTAAAGCAAACCGTTGTGTGACAAGGGAGTTGATTTAGGAAGCATACGAGTCGGTGACGTGGTGCCCACAATGGCAGAACTATATAGCGTTATAAAAGTCAAAGCATAACAAATTTTTATTATTACTACTTTTCGGTTAATAGTTTGAATGTTCGGTTATGATACTACTATTTATCACGGGGAAAATCGACATGATCATATTAGATGGTTTTTTATATTTAATATGGTTAGTAGTGTTACGTTTAAGATTCGAAGTAATCTGCATTTTCATGGGCATTACACGAAGGTAGCACCAGCTTGGGCTTTCGCAGTACCAAAAAAGGTTCACAACAGCTTTAACACCACTTGACCCATAACTTGTCTTCTATCATTGGCATTTGTTGGGTAACCATGAATATCTGGACCACCTTACGTGCACTGACTAATCCCTGAGTGACCATGAATAACCTGGAGTCATTGCAAATGAACCTCCATGGCCTTAACCCAGATTCGAAACCATGAAAGATGAGATTTCCACTACATCCCCTAATGCCTTGACCATTCAGGTGGTTTATTAGTAGCATTTTGTAGTTGGTAAGCATCGTATCAACAAAACCAATGTGATGATGACATTGATCATTGCCGTAGATATAAACAACAGATACAGGGCGAAACAACAGATACAGGGCGAACGACAATAAGACCAATGATAAACTCGGAAACTGCACAAAGGGTATGGGAGTAGCAGTAGAAAGTTTACGCCTTAAAAGTTACAATTAAATATGAACAACGAATGCTCAACTTTGTTGAATTCCGCTAGGCCACGTCTGATTCTTCACTGGTTTCAGTATCTCTTCAACCTCAGCTAGTGTTTGCTCGTCTTTCTCAACTTCTGTAGCAGCCGCAACATTAACCTGCACCTGATTGACGGAATTTTGAAAAGGGGGGGTCAGGGCGGATCCAGGAATTTTGGTGATTAGTTAAACATAGTATGAAATATAATAAAAATATATAAAAAATAAAGAAAGGAGAAAGGAGAAAACGGTACATCTATATATAAAAAATAAGGCATTTAACCACAAAGGTGGTGCCTGATTGGTTTGAGCTTGACTCCAAAGGTCAAAAATACCAGGAGGTCTCATGTTCAAATCCAAGGAGTAGTAAAAAATCCCCTTGTGGCCACGGAGGTTCAAATGCGGTGACTCCGGGCTATCTGCAAAGCAGGTGGTCGCCCTTGGATTAGTCGGCTCACGTAGCGGGTTGGATATCCAGGTTAATAAAAAAAGGCATTTTATAATAATGTAAAAGAATAAAATTTATAGTCTATGGGGGTTAAACTCTTTTTATGGGGTCAAAATAGGCATTTATATATGAAAAATAAAACTTATAATGCATATAAATTTCTTTTTGAAAATTCATGGGTCAGTTGACAACCTCTTTTGCATGGACATCCAAAAAGATCAAACCAGAATATCCCACTTGAGGGCGGGGATGTACGTAGGCCTAACCTCTACTCCAAAGAGTAAAGCGGTTGTTCCTGTGAAGACTCGTGACTATAGGAAAAAATGGTAATTGCAGGAATGATTCCAAAATAATGAACTTATCAGATCCTTGTGTTTAGTACTTGAAATCAGAATTGGAGCATAGATTATGAACTTCCAAGTCATATTTGCGAAACAGAAAAGACTTATATAGCATGTAACCTGGTAAAATAAACAGTTAAAAGGTGCTTAATGAATTGATCCAATATCAGGTGAACTTTTTTCTTGGCATTTACGAAGGAAAAAGGCTCGTCTAAGCTGGGAAATTAGTGCACTTTTTACATTTTCTGGTCAGAATACTTGAAAAACCTAAACCAATAGTAGATTGAAGTATAATAAGGAAACATGGAAGGTGATATTTAACCTGTTCAACGGATTTCATTCCAACCAGTACTGTAGAAATATCTTTGTTAGACATGCTGTATTGCATGGCCAATTTTGATATATCCTTGCCCTTCTTTTTACAGAAAGCAGCAGCAGTCTGGCATGCAGCCTGAGACCAAATAGAAAAGATAAGTAAAAGTATCGAGTTAATCAAGCAGTACACATTTCTGTAATACCAAGACCAGTAACATTTTCTACATCTGGTTTAGATATGTAGTATGAAGTATTTCTGGATAATGCAGATTTTGGAGTCTGTATAGATTCTCCTTGTCGAAAGAGGGAGAAAATAAAATAAGGGAAGAAGATTTAAGAACACAAAGAAAACGGAAGATACATGCTAGGGAGAAAACCACATCAATGAGGAAATAGATCTTCTATGAATTGTTAACTTATATAGTCCACTTCTGAATTTAAACCCCTCTAGATAGCCTCCATGTTATTGTAGACGATGCTACTTAACCTTCTACAAAAAGGGTATGATGCCACCCTCTAGAGCGCTCCCACTGTACTCAACCCATGGTCATCATGGGGAGGTTAATCGTGTGTCCCAAGGGCAAGTGGGTGGTGACTGGAGTCGAACCGCGGACCTCCCACTCATTCTGCAAGAATGGGAATGGCCACCTCCTTACCCACTATGCTATAGCCGAAGGGACTTCTCTATCTCGTTCTACTGTAATTTCTCTTGGTGTATATAAAAATCAGAGACAGGAATGGCTATTCAGAGCAGGCGTGGTCAAGACTACTGTATCATCCAAAAGTCCATCGCCAAAACTTTTTCTAGATATTACTAATGCTACCACCAATAATTAAACGCAATTAGGTATAGTCCTACTGTAACAATATTGTACAGATGTCCTATTGCATTCATTAAGCATGCTTATTTCATTTTAGTAGTTATCTGGTTAACCCAGTAGAAATTCGTGGATTTTCCTCCTCCACAGGGTTGTAGATTCCATCCTACACATTGTTCCTATACCCAAAATCCAAAATGGGAAGAACACAATAACAACAGTAAAAGTGGAAAAGAATAATCTATTATCCATAACCGATGAATACAGGAGCCCCAACTTATAGGTATAATGTTTCTCATCAGCATAAATTCTTTAATATTGAAATCCGTGATGGTCAGTAATAATGTTTTACCATTGGACTAAAGAAGCCTACAATGATAAGGTGTTTGGAACTGTAATATAGGAAAAAGAGAACCTTAAGTTCAGGTGAAGCCGGGTGCCACTCTGGAGGGCCACTTTCTGTAAGAAGTCCCATTGCTAGAGGGGATGCACTGATCACACCAACTCCCTTACTTTTGAGGTAAGGCAGTAGATCCTCCAAAGTTGTATCATTAATACTATAATGACAATATGAAAGAATTACATCAACTGTGCCTAGTGGTACTCGATCAAGCACATAACTGAAGATTCCCAATGGAAGTCCGGTTATACCAATGAACCGGATCTTCCCGGCTTCCTTCAACTTCTGGAGGGCAGGAATTGTCTCGTTTATAATCTGGAAACAGACACAGATAGATTGATAAGTGATTGTGATTGCTCTCTCTATCAGATAGGATCAAACAAAAGGAAACTATAACAGTAAAGGGGAAGCTAGAACACTTGAAGGAGCACCTGATCAAGTGAGCCAAATTCAATGTCATGACACTGCAATATATCAACATATTCCAGCTGTAGCCGTTCCAAACTCTCATCAATACTCTTATTCACCCTTGCAGCACTGAAATCAAAACCCTCCTTATACCTCCCGCATTTTGTTGATACAATGTACTTTTCTCTTGGCACTCCAACAGCTTTCAGCGCCTTCCCAAGGGCTTTCTCAGACAATGTCCCTCCATAATACCTGAAGATCATAGAAAAAACACATAAATAATAAACTTTTGGTTCCAAAAAAGACCTTGAAGTCTGAAAATGCTTAAACTTTTACAATGAAAAAAGTGTGTTCTGTGGCATGAAAATAGAAACTATTGCTTACACTGAAAATGCAACAATTTGCAAGTAAATTTGATAAATTTCTGTGTGTGGTTGTTTCAACTACATTAATCAATGATGCCTAAAGGTATATTGACCATAAACTAAATCAGAACACCTAATATGCTACAGAGATCGGAAGTTTACACTCATCCCACACTTCATTACTGAAATAAGCTTTCATATGAGAGTACAACATACATAAAATCTCGGTCTGTATAAAGTAAATTCAGCAATTTAAAGTGCATACTATATGTATCATTATAAATGAAAGGATTTAGTGCAAGATATCATCAAAAAAGGGAACCTTCACTGCTTGAATTGCATCACATATCCAGATGTTACCCTAATTATGAAAGAAAAAAGAAACAATGGCCCTAACATGTGTGATGGATTAATGAGAAATACTAACGGGGAAGTGTCAAAGAAGTTAATGCCGAGTCGAAATGCTTCACGGACGGTAGCAATGGCTTCTTCATCGGAGACAGGGCCGAAGACGCTGCCGAGAGGGGATGCACCAAATCCGACACAACTGAGCTTGAGACCTGTGTTTCCGAGCGATCGGAGCTCTAGCGTCTTCTCCATTTCTCTGACTGGTTGGTGATTCAGCTCTAGGGTTGGTGATTCAGCTCTAGGATCAGGTGTATTCACGGGGAAGATACTCTTTTAATAACCCCACAATGATTACGCTGTTGCGTTCCCAAATTTAATTTTTTTAGTTTTTTTAAACGTTTTTAGGAAAGAAAAGAGAAACGAAGAAAATAATGATATATTTTTTTTAAATCTTTGGAGTTGTATGGTAGTTGTTAAATGATTTGATATAAAATAATTAAATGGTCTGAATGAAGACTTTCATTATATAGTGTAAAATAAAATATAATTGTTTGATAATTATTTATAATTAAATTAGGATGCTGATTGATTAAGGAAGACTTATGATACAAAATCATTAAGATGGTTTTATAACCATCAAGAAATAGACTTTTTTTTGTCAAACAAGATTCATCTCTTAACAATTCAGATGTTGTCTCTTAATGAAACTATTAAGAGGTAAACAAACAACCCCTTCCTTTTAGATGTGAAAACGAAAAAGGAACGAAAAGTAAAATAATTTATAAAAACTAAAAATATTTATAAAATTACATATATACCCATCAATTATATTTCATTATGAAATAAATAATTTTTTTAGATTACAGATATTATTAAAATATTTTATAAATTATTGTTTGACAAAAACTTTTAAAAACCATTTTTCATGTATGAAATATTGTTTATTGATGCATATTACTTAAAATTCAATATTACAAGTAAATGGTGCGTAAGTACAACTTGTTAAAGTTTCATGTTTGAATTTGTGTAACTAGCTGCAGATAAACATAATCAAATACAAGATAAATATCTCATTTTAATTATAAAAAAATCTAAAATATAATTAAGATAATCATTAAGTTTTAACAAAATACTTAATTATTATCTTTATAAAGAATTATATAACTAAACCTAAATTAAATTACTTTGTTACGTTAAATTAAATTATAATAAAAAAAATTGACTTAAAGAAATTACACAAAACAAACACTTTTAAATAGTTAATTTGATACTAATATCAATATAGTTTTTTCAAATTTTTATGATATTTTATTTAAAAATAAAAATATTATTGTTTTCTCAAAACCATATAAAACCGTATTATATCAATGTAGATAAAGAATAACATAAAACGTTGAAATTGGGATGGGTCTTGATGCATTGCACGAGTATCCTTCTAGTTATATTATAAGACATTTGATAAAAACTTTTAAAAAATTATATTATTATATCAAAAATAAATTACTTTGTTATTAAATCTAAATTAAATTATAATAAAAAATTGAATTAAAGAAATTACACAAAAAACAATAACATTTAAATACTTAATTTGATATTGATATATTTATTTTCAAAAATTTATGATATTTTCAAATTTATATTTTATTCAAAAACAAAAATATTATCTCTTTCTCAAAACCACATAAAAACCGTATTAAATTATCTACAGAGACATAATAAAATGAAACACTAAAATCGAGATATATCTCGCTGCATTACCTGAGTACCCTTCTAGTTATATTATAAAGCATTTGACAAACACTCTAAAAAACTATCTTTTAATCACTAATTACTGTTTATTGATTGATATTACTTAAAATTCAATACCATAAGTAAATTATGCGCAAGTATAACTTATTAAAGCTTTATATTTGAATTCGTGTAACTAACTACAGATAAATATAATACAGAATAAACATCTCAATTTTAAAGATAAACAATATAAAATATAATTAAGATAATTATTGAGTTCTAACAAAATATTTAATTATTAAATTATATTAATAAACCTAAATTAAATTATAATAAAAAATTAAATTAAAAAAAATTACACAAAAAACAAAAACTTTTAAATATAAAAAATATAATATATAATTAGTATAATCATTAAGTTTTAATAAAATATTTAGTTATTATCTTTATAAAAAAATTATATTATCAAACCTAAATTATATTATAATAAAATAATTTGAATTAAAAAAATTACACAAAAAACAAAAACTTTTAAATAGTTAATTTGATACTAATATCAATACATTTTTTATGTTATTTTTAAATTTATATTTTATTTAAAAATAAAGCATTATCGATTTCTCAATATCATATAAAACCGTATTATATCAACATAAAAAATAATAAAACGAAACATTGAAATAGAGATATGTCTCGATCCATTGCACGAGTATCCTTCTAGTAATAATAAAACAACAATTCTTACTTTTAGAACATCTCCAATTGATATTTTATATACTTTTTTTCTTTTTTAATTTGAACATTTATCCCTTCTTTCTATTTTTTTTTCTCTATTTGAGCATAAAATTTTACATAGTTGTTCGAACAAACTTTTTCTGAATCTTCAAATTTTTTTAAAATAACACAATGTTGGAAATACGTTTAGACAGTCAAATAAATATATTTATTTAAAGTTTTTGTATCGACAAAAAATTTTACTTTTGTTGTTAAAAATGATATCGCATAAAAACGGTTGTATTTAAACATATGGCTAATTAATAAATATATATTATTAATGACACTAGTGAGTGTAAGTGAAAAATCATGTGAAAAGCAGAGCTAATATGAAAATTTTTAAAAAATGATCTGGACCCTTGATCACCTTAAATCTCAAACTCATCCATAAATCGTGTTTGAAACGAAGATTGATCTGGTGCATTTCACCTTAATATGCATTCAATAGTGGAGATCCCTTCTTACGCTAATTACCTCACCTTTTCACTGGAACCCAACCTAGTAGGTTAATTGCAACTCCCATGTAAAACTTAACTATCAACTAAGAATGAAAATTAATTCAATAGTAAATTACACCGTTGGTCCTGTGGTTTGCTCAAATGATGTATATGATCCCTCTTTTTTTTAAAATAAGTGCAATCCTTGTGGTTTGCAATTCATTTCGACTTGAGTCCCTGTCTCTAACGGATTAACCTTATATCCGTTAGGTCAAGGACAAAATGGTCAATTTAGTCATTTTTAATAAACTTTCTGTTGTACAAGCGTAGAGGCCAATAGTACAAGTTCATAATTCATTTGATGATGAAAAGAGAAGCATTCCCTCTTATGGCATCCTCTCCTTCTCCGACTTCCTCTGGTTTCTGCGGCCTCCTCCTATCTGCCTCGTCTCCCTTCCCCGACCAACATCATCTCCGCCCTCCTCCCCTCTCTCAAAAGCACCACCATATCCAACCACTTGAAATATATCTAACGTTTGAATCCACATCTTGAACTTTCTAACAATCCATTTTTAAATCTATGAAAACACGGTTGCAGGTGATGACTGATGAGTGACTCATTTTCCACAAAGATTCACACAACTTGTACACCTCGTTTTCCATAAAAAAATCATGCATGTTCAGAACTTTTTAGTCAAATTTATACGATCGGTTACGAAAATCCTTGAAAACCATATCAACACTGCGATGGATTGGTGTCTTTTCTGGATTCAACACTACGATGGATGAAACGCTTCGAAAATCAATGTATATTTTCTAGATTTAACGAGTGTGTTTTTTAGATTCTACCCGTGTGTGTTTTTTAGATTTTACCAATATGTTTCTTGATCGTCGCAGGGGGTGGATGGAGGGGAAGACGTATGGTTTCACCTCTTAGCCATTTATCTCTCAAAATTACGAAAATAGGCATAGGTCTGCAATTGACAGGTCCATAATTTGTAGAGGGGTCAAAGTATATAAAAAAAGATGATGTTTTTGAACCAGGTCCATAATTATAGAGACCAAATATGCAAATTTGGAAAAGCACATCATATTTTTGCCGACCTATTAACTAATTTACATATTTGGTTCATATAATTGCGGATCTGGTTTAGAAACATCATTTTTTACACTTTGACACCTCTGCAAATTGCGGACGTATGATTATTTTCGTAATGTTGTGAGGGAAATGGCTAAAAGATAAAACCCACCGACCAAAATGACTATTTTAATTAATTTCCCTTTTTTGAAATCATCATTTAATGTAATATTTTCTAAAATTTGTATTTTGTTATACAAATCCAATTTTTTTTTAATATTATTAGTTAAATAATAATAATAAATCAAATTGAAAACTAATAATTAACATATTCTATTTTTTATAACATCTGGTTTATATTAATTAACGTATTATAACATTAGTGAATTACTTTAAATATAATATGAAATGTTTCATTTTATTCATTTTTAAACATGTCTTTTTCAATCATTTTACATTTTCCAACTAACTGCCAAAGGCATGTAGTTCATCAGCTAAATATCGACTACTAACTAACTTATTAGTTATCAGCTAGTTTGTCAAACATAAACTCATTTAGATGTGGATTTTAAACAGTGGTATTAAATGATTCTAGATATAGTGCAAATAACTTCAAATTAATCCTGATACATATGTGCTTAAATGAGTAAGAAAACATTTAAGAGCATTTTCAATTAATTTTCTAAAATTAAGAAGAAAAAAAATTATGATCTTGTGCTAATCTTTTACTCCAATAAGAATTTCTACAACTTTTTTTAAAATGGAGAAATTTAAAATATATATAGAGAGAGATTGTTTTAAATGCAACCAATTATATTTTTACAACCAATGCAACCCAATAAATTAAAATATTTATGAAAATGATGATAGTTCATTTATTATGATTTAAATATTTATGAAAGATGAATAAGATTTATTAATTATGATCAATACTTTATATTAGGAAACAATCAAAACTTATTTGAAATTACATATTCATCAAATTAAATGAACGATTGAGATTGAGTTGTATTGGTTGTATAAATGTAAGAAATTGTATAATAACTCACCTATCTCTCTCTATATATATATATAGGGTTAAATGCATAAAATAGCAACATACTTTCATAAATTTTCTTATTATAGCATTCTACTTTTGTTTTTTTTTTATTACAACAATGTACTTTCAAATTATTTTTTATTAAGGCATTGTACTTTAAAAAATCTACCCATAATAACAATGGGTAACCTGTTACCTTTTAAACCAGTTAACCCTTTGACTTTTTTGCTTGTATGGCTTTAATAAGGTGATGTGGATAACACATCATTTTGATGACTTAACTAAAATTA